AAGTAAATTGTTAATAGTGTTTTTTTGTGAACACTTCCTGTCCTGGTAAAACAGTAACAGTGAACTATTTCTTGTTTTGTTTTTTTTATTGTTACAAAAATGTATGAAAAGTTCTACAAATTAATATGTTCATTCTTTTATTTTCCACCAGATCACAACAAATCATACTCAGATGGAGGACAGATGCTCCGTGGCAGGGAGGTTACGTGAGACGTCAGATTTACTGACAAGTAATTAGTAGTTTTGAGACACAAAGAGTGCCAGTCTCAAATGAAGGAATTCAGGCAGAAGTGACTCTTTGATCTGAACGTTTCCGCTACAAAAAGCCAACTGACTGATCCAACAAAAGGCATCACTTTCCATTTTGCCGACAATTGTCTCCAGAATCTTTGTGCCTCACCCCCCACTCAGCTAATTTACCACGGGAACAATGGACAAACATGACAGAGTGGGCTGAATCTTATCAACGCCTAAAAATCATATGAAAGTTATCAATTTTAATTAGTAATTATTTTGCCTCACCACAGAACATGCATTGAACATTTTGATGAAAAGATACAGAAGAGTAGGGCTCTTTCAAATTTTCAAAATAACACATCAGACACTAAGGCAATAAAGATGTTTTACTTTGAAAATCCATAATGACCCTTTGGCTTAAGGCTGACAGACGGGTCCTTGGTTCAAAAAAAGTTTGTTTTAAAAGCTAGAAAACCGTCAGGAAAAGGCTTGATGTTGATCGTTTATGACAGAAAAGTGTGATCTTAAAAAAAAAAAAAAACTGTTTGGGCAACAGAATGTCCGGAAAGGAATTATTTGATTCTGCCCCTGCACTAAAATTAATAATTCGGATCAATTCACAAGTTAATGTTTGTGGTCACCTGTCCATTGTGACAGCCCTAGTATTTACACAGTAGGTTTTCTGCTGCGTCGTCTCTGTGAAAGGCTAAAACCAACCATGCGCGGTGTTCAACAGACTCTACTGTCAGAGAGTTGGGGCTGACTGAAGGACATGTCTTCAGCCCCCGGGGCCTGAGCTGATACGCTCTACGATGCTCTTCACGGAATTCCCTGTCGAGAAATCCTTTCACATTCTTGAGAGGAAGTACGAAGGAGGAGGAAGACGACGTAGGAAGCTTACATAACCCTGTGAAGACAGCTCCATGTCAAGAAATCTGACAGGGAGGGAGACGTGACAGAGGGGGTCTTGAAGTGCCCGTCAGCTCCTCCGTGGCCAAACTTGGGCCCAAATCACAGCAGAAATGCCTCCACACCCGCAGCGGCTCCTTTCAGCAGACAGGCAGAAGGATTGTGTTTATCTTGTTTGCGTAATAAACAGCTGTCAGGGGATTAGACATGTGCAGGAAGGGGATGCGTGGGTCTCCATCAGGAGGGGGTTTCTGCAGTCATGGTTTCCCTGCTCGGTTTGTTTTGCAGGCTTAGAAACAGAACAAAAATAGAAATCCCAAGAAAACAGGAAGCCACCAAGATTTAAGAGACAAAAAAGCCAACAGGTGGGTGTCGGGGGTGGGGGGCTCACAAATGAGGAGCTGATTAAGTTTCTATTTAGTGGGCATTTTAAAGACTGACTTCTTCCATCCTTCGTGCCAAACATTTTCGTGGTCATCAAAGTTGTCATCGACCTGACAACTGGTTAATGGCAAGGACTGTCGAACAACTTCGACAAAGCTTTAGTCAATAGTAAGAACATAACAAATCCGCCAACAAACATCGAGCCTTTTAGTTCTACTGGGAGGAGGGATTATTCAGTTTCTGTCCAGCAGGAGGGTCCATCCATGTATGTCAATGACTGAGTTTTGTTTTCAAAGTTTTTAAAGATGGCCTCCAGGTGTATAAAAAGAAGACTTAGGAGTTGATCTTCAGTGTTAGGTGTTGTTTGCACCTCATTGACCAGGTGGCAACAGTCGAGTGCTGACGTTGTGTTTAAGGGCCAACATAATGATAAAAATGAAACTTTTCATTTCAATAATTGAGTGAAAAGTTGCTACAACTACTGTACATACTCAGATTTGACTGCTGTTTGCACCGTTATTTTCTGCCTAATGTTTTTTTTTTTTTCTCTGCACATAAAAGGTTATTTTCTGCCTAATGTTTTTTTTTTCTCTGCACATAAAACATCCAGCATGATCATTATTGTGTTTCCTGGGAGGTGAAACCCTGAGGACGGATCATCATAGAAGACCACAGAGAAGCTGCTGAGGGCTGGCTCTCTGTGTGGGTCGACACACGAAGCAGAGCTTGCATCATTAACTCCACCTCCGGAACCGCAGCTAACAGCAGGAGATTGACGGGATTCCAAAAAAACGGAAGGAAATTTTTCTGTGAAATGTTATTATTAGTCTCCTTCATGCCCTGACAACAAAGGTTATTATTAGTCGTCTTCATGTCCCAAGAACACGGAGACAAAGCTCCTTTTGTTTTCGATGGATTTCTGAACAGCTACTGTCACCAAAGGCTCCTCCCCGTACTGATCATCATATAACTACAGCTTCAGATGTTCAACTGGGTTTTTTTTTCTTGACTGCATTAACGTTGCACGAGGAGTAGATGGAGAAGCACACGCTGACCCAGAGAGACGGACTTTGTGTAAAAGCCAAGCAGAGTGCAGGGGCGCACGATATTACTGTAAATAAAGACTATTAAACTGTCATCTGTGTCAGGCGTGGGCAAAGTTTTGGACTCACGGGCCACACTTGGATGGGGAAGTTTTGGACTCACGGGCCACACTTGGTCCTAAAATTGGATGGGGGGCCAGGTCAGGGGGGGCCAGGTCAGGAGCAGATGGATGGACTAACTATAATGTTGGACTAATGTAAATGTTGTGTTAAAGTTATGCATAAAGGTTAAAATCTACGCCATCTATTGGGGAAACATGGGTATTGCAGGGAAAATGCAGTAGTATAATGATAATATAAATAAATTATATAATTTGGAAAAGTTTGGCGGGCCGGATTAAAAACCTGAACGGGCCTTAGTTTGCCTGTGTCTGGTCTATGTCAAAGGAGAATTCACCTACTACACCTACACCTTTGTTGTACACAAGCTAAAATAAGTCACAGGGAGAATGATGCTAATTCAGTTTAGCTCATCACATTTGTACTCACCTGATCTGAAGTGCAAATACTGAAAAGTACAGTCAGAAGAACACGATTCAAAAAGCCCGGTGACCTTTATGGTCAAGCATGTCATGTTTAATAATTCTCATTTTAATAATACCCATACACAGCTAAACAACCAACGTTTTCAACGAGTCAAACAAGCAGCAGGAAAGGTCACCATCGGGATCAGCGTTTCTCTAAAACCTGATGCTGGTCTCTACCTGTGATCTACTCTTCATCCTCTAGACTCATTACAACAACTGTTGGTCCAGTTCTTATGGCACAATTTAAATTTTAGGAGAAATTACCAATTAATTGTTGACTCAATGTGACTCAATGAGCAAACGTAAGTCCTGGGTGGAGTATGAAAGTTTAATTTAAATATGATTTAATTCAAATCATTTAAATTATTTTTTTTGGATGATGCCCAAGGAACTGTCTGAACATTCTCAGATCCCACAGAAACAGTCAACCTACCACTGGCAGTTTAAACCAGAACCCTGGAATGGAAGTCAACATCATGTAGATACAGAAGTTCTCCCTTTGGTGGTAGAACAATGAATCTTTCACAGCATGAAATTACTTTTCTGCTATTCTGGGATTATGGGGCTGATTATTAATTAATTTAAGATTTTTTTTTTCTAAGTCACATCCCATGGCTGAGACGTGATCTCTGTGTCCAGGCTGAACACGTCCAGCAGGAGCAACCTTACACAGCACTGGAAACCAAACTGACAGACGAAGATGAGCAGTGAACAGTCCGAGCACATCAGCTCGTATCTGGCCCAGCATATACAGTACGTGGATTATATGTAGATTATTACATAGAAATCAGGGACCATCTGAACAGTAAGAAAAGAAAAACAACAACTTAAGCAGAAACTATTCCTTGAACTGGATCAAAACATTATCTTCCTGATTGATGTCAAAACTAAACACACACACACACACACACCTGTGCTGAATGGAAATAACCCCGCCTGTGTATTTGAACACCACGAGACACCCATTAACAATTCTCCATGCAGGATGAGAGAAATATTCTCCAGTTACATGTGTTAACCCTGGAGGTTTGTTAAAGGACACTCGAGGCTCCACACAGCTTTACATAGAAATGTGTTTTTTTCCTCAGTCTGACACTGACAGACACAGGAGAAACTGTCTGTCCAGTGGGCTGAGATTTAACACAGACAACGACCGTAGGTTCAGGAGAGTTCTGACAGGACATAAACAATAAACACCATGGTAAACCAGGCATAGTATTTGTTCATTTAGATTCAATCAGATTCAACATGGTACACTGGGAAATTATTTATTATATATGATATTATTATATTATAGTGGTATAATTACTTTAGTAATCAACTACCAATGAGCTGAATCCTGATTCTTCCTTTATTTAATGTGTAACGCCCATGGTTTCCGCACATGTCCAGACTACTTCTGGAGTTGCTTCTATTCAAGATGCACATTGAAAATACAAATAAACTAAAAGACTATACGTATTTTTAAGAACTGAATAACTAACAGTTTACGGGTGTTTTCAATTCGGCTATGACAGTAACATATTTAAAGAAACGTCTTTTAGCTTAATAACAATTGCAGCGGACGCCAAACGGACAATGTTTTGGTTCGTCCACGAAGTGGGAAAAAAACAAGAGAAGAAATTAGATTAATACATTTTGTTAAAAGTAGTCATTTGTGGTGGATACAACACGAGCCGTTTTTAAGTACATAACACTATTCAATGTCATCAAGAGTTTAATTGTTGTTGTTTTATATGCACACATTAGCCGATCAGGGGGTCAGTGGTAAATTGCCATATTTTCAATGGGCTTTCGCCATTCACCCACAGACAACAGGTGGTGTGTGCGGCTGGCTCACCTTTTGCTGCCGCCGGGCCATGTCAGTGGGCTGCTTGGCGTTGAACGGATAAGCAATGCATCTGAGCACAAACACATAAATCTGCAGTTTAATTTTCCTCTCCTCTTCCTCCTTCTGGATCCTCTCTCGCTCCTTCCTATCCTCCTCTTCACCTGCGCCGCTGTTGTCTTTCGCGCCTTTGCCAGGAGCGCCTCCAGGGGCGGCGGACTGTCGCAGCTGGCTGCCCGCTCGGCTGCTATTCACTCGTTTCCCCGACGGGGAGGCGCCCAGTTTTCCCGCAGCCTCCGGTGCAACTTCTTGGTCGGACTCCCCGCTAGAGTCTTCGCTGGAGGACGGGTCCAGCATGGTTCAACTCCGCTTCACTCCGACGGAGCAAACAGAAAGGTTCACCAGGTGTTTGAGCAGCACTTTGTTTGTTTTAGTCGACGTGGCGTTGACAGCTGCAGGTTAGACCTGTAGTCCTGCCCTGCCGCCGTGGTGCTGGTGGGTTTTGAGGTGGGCACAGGGTTCTTTGCTGTGGCGTTCGGGGCCGCCCGAGGGGGCGGGGTTTAACGGTAAAACCTGCCGGTTTTGGTCGCGCGCGTCGAACCATGTGTCGGAATGGCAACGCGCGTCGCCACCGCTGCTGCACCGAGAGCGCGCTTCTGCACACAGGTGAGAAACCTGTAGCTGCTGCCAAAGATAGTAGTACAGCGGAAGGACGTATCACTCTGCCGCTGATTATCCCCTGTGTCTGTTAGAATCAGGGGGAAGGTGGATCCCATTGCGTGTGCAGCCAGTGGTTTCTCAGTGCAGTGTTTATCTCACTTTTGACACAGATGCTCAGTTTTAAAAGACGACAAATAGTGAATGTTCCTAATTTTACTTATAAATTCCGGTTTAAAAAAAGTGGACAATAGAGCTATTTATGATGATAAAATTAAACCACCGCGTTATATACATTAACAGACCCTGAATTCATCAATATGTAAATTTAAGATATTTTTACAGCAACCAAATCATATATCCTGACGCCAGTCCTGGAACGTTGCATCATTTACATATTATTTAGAATAGTGGCAACATGTTTTCCATATGGCAGTTACTTTTATTTTGTAATTTCTCATTCGTCCACCCAGTGTCTTTTTACGTGCAAAACTCTGAACCCTTTTGGAAGAAAACTGACCAAGAAAACAACATTAATCATCAATATTGAATTATGAATACCGTAATAAAAGCATTTTTTGTATGCGTTTTCAGAAAATCTAACCATAATTGTGGTGGCCACTAGAGGTCAGTATTTTACTTGTACATTTTATCTGAAGTTGATATCGACGAAACAGCGGTGTCTCACCCACTTCATCTCTGCGATAAAATGGCTTTACTGTACCACACAAACTGGTGCGTGTGCGTGTATTTAATGCCCCCTGTGCACCGCGAATCAGTTTTTGATTATTAATGTTTTCTATTTTGACACAGATATTACAGAATGCTCATTTTAAAGTTAAATAACAGGATCAGACCACTGATAATTTAAAGTCTATCTATTGTCTATAGATGGAAACTAAATTTGAACTAAAACACATATTGAGTTTCCAGGAAAATAACAACACATTAACACTTACCTCACTGTCAAAGACTAAAGCGTAAGGTAAACAGGCTTATATTAAAATGTTTTTTATTAATCTGCTGAAATATTTTAAATGGAATAAATTAAAAAGACATTGTTCAAAGTTCAAGGTTGAGTGGAGTTCAAACTGGGAAGGACTGGTGCCCAGTCTGGGTAGGTGTCCAGAGAGAAGAGTGGAACTCCCCAAGTGGCCACAGCCAACATGACAGTAAGAACACCAAAGACGTTTACACCCAGCCCCGCTTTGACCTGCAGCCGTGACCAGAAACACAACACAGGAATAAAACAAATGTACATTTATTTTATTTATTATAACTGCCTAATAATCTTAGGACTTACCATGTCCATGATGCTGAAGTGTCCGTAGGCAAACACCACAGCATTGGGTGGGTTAGAGGACGGCAGTAGGAAGGAGAAAGATGTGCACAGAGTGGTGGGGATCAGGACGAACAGTGGGTTGACGTGGATGGCCTCTGCCTGAAGGAAAAAAATAAATAAAACATAGCGGTAACTTCTTGACTTCATTGGCAAATACTCATGTGCAATTGTTATGACTTTGAATCCATATTAAACATTCGGCCATTATGGATCAGTCACAAATAAAAGCAGATGTGAAACCCACGGTTACCTGCTGTTTTCTGTCTTTCTGTTCAGTAATGTTGATTTATCTCAATTAACTGATTAATCCCAATTAATCAGGATTGCTTAATGATATGTGGGCAGTACAGACATTTTCACAGCGTTGACCTACCAGTGGGGAGAGGATGGGGAGGAAGATGGTGGTGGTGGCAGCGTTGCTGGCCACCTCTGTTACTGTGGTGACCATGATGCAGGCAACGGTGATGGTGGCTAAAACTGGCAGTTCACCCAGAGGTGTCAGCAGCTCAGCCACCCACAGAGACAGCCCGGATTCCTGCAGATGCACGAACACCGCAGCATGACTGATGAGTCACGGGAAACGTTTGAACTCAAAGAGGTCGGTTTATTTTTCATTTTTATTAAGATTACGTTACATCAACATTAGAGAAACTCAGACGGCAGTGTCACACACGGGTCAATGGAATGACTTATTTATGCAGAAACAGCTTTTAATTACTAACAGTTTTGTGACTTTTTAACATGTGTTTGTCTTTAATGTTGTATTTTTTCTACTTCACTGATTTTATTTAATTTTATAATTGGTTCCTGTTGATCAACTTTAGCAGGGAGAGTGGTAATTGGTTCCTGTTGATCAACTTTAGCGGGTAGAGTGGTGCAGTGGTAATACCCCTGTCTTCCACCACAAGGCTCCAGGTCGAGATTATATTTTAAACGAGTGTGTGCCACAAATTGGGCAACTTAACCTAGGTTGGTTAAACAATCCTCATCCTGTGCCACAAATTGGGCAACTTAACCTAAAATGACAAAGTTTAGGTTGGTGAAACAATCCTCATCCAAAGATTCACAACAGACGTCTACAATGAGTTGAAAAATAAGTTTGAAACCTTCCATGTACACTTTTAAATATATTATGAATTTAAAAGAAATAAATTAACACAATAAAATATTTTGTTAGCATCTGAACACCACCCTACCTTAGCACCTTCAGCAAGTGCAAAGCCTCCACCCACCAGCAGGGCCACAGTCCAAGGCATCACGGCGTGGAATTCTTTCCAGGAGATCATAGCCTCTGCATGGACAGAGTGGAACATCCTTCCATAAACAACATTACAGAATCAATGTTTGTCCTGGTGTTTGTTCTTAATGATTGTTATCTAATATGTTATGTTATTCAATACACAATATATACTGGGAACTGCAGACATAACATTTAACAATATTTATTTCAATACGGAATTATTAGCAAACCGTGACATAAGTTACACATCTATGTAGGTAACGAGAGAGATTTAATGAAGTTACCGTATTGCTTGGACGGTCCGTAGGCAGGTATGAAGAAAAACAGGAGACCCAGCAGCAGAGCAACAGTAGCGTCAGTGATGTAGCCTGAATCACTGTAATGGGGCAAAAAGGAAGACAAATATACATTTTAGTTGGATTGAAATTAATATGTACTCAGTGTTAACACGCAGGGAAATATTAACTCCAACACAGTAGCATTCAATATGTAATAAGTCAAACTCATTTGATCACCTACAGTGACCTGATGTAAAAGAGGACAGCAATTTTAAATGGTTTTGCTGTTAGCAAGCAAGCTAAACATTTAAAGATATGATCTCAGATGAAACTCACTTGGAGAAGAGAGACGCCCAGCCTGGCACGAAACCTGGAGATCTGGTCAACCACAGAAGCACCATCAACACAAAGACAACCCCAGTCAGGATCTCCTGAGAGCTGGAGGACATAAATAGATCATATTCACAGTATATTAATGCATATCCATGTACAGAATGTTTACAGATGGATCAGTTGGATGAGTGATCACCTCATTGGTCCCAGTGACTTGTACTCTTCTTCTATGACCTTTCTTGCTGCCCTCTCTCGCTCTGTCTGCTCTCCTTTGCATCGCCAAAGAAAACTGAAACTTTGAGTATAAAAAAAAACAGACAATATTTTTCATTGACAAGTGGAAGGAAGATTTGCTTATTGTAAACACATATATACATATATATAAACCTTCCTTTCATCTTATCTAATCGTCAATTAAAATACAGTATATACTCCAGGTTTCTTAGGATCAGACAATCCAGGTGTGGTTTTACCTTTCACCTTTAATTACAGCATCAGTTACCTTATAAAGCAACATGGTAAATATGATAATCTGTCTTTTAGAATCACATCTAATCACATCAGTGACCTGTGTCATGTTCAGTGGGACTGCACCTTTTGAACTGTTTTATTATTTAGGATTCCTTGGGTGATATAAGAGGTTGTATATATTATCTCCAGGTTGGGAGGTTATGAGATGATGTAGTAAAACAGATCAGTTCATCAGTGTGGCCTCATACTGTACCGTATCTCCAACAAGGATTACACAAAGGAGTGACAAAAGCCTCAGACTAACTAAATGGAATTGTCAGGGTCAGACAGAGTGGAACACAGTCACATTGCAATAAACAGACAAGAAGGGATTAGTGCCAAAGACCGCGTGCAGGGACTCACTCTGAGCCAATGAAGAGCCAGTACAGCCATATCCATGTCAGCAGCAGCATGATAACAGCGATGGGCAGGCACAAGAGGAGCCACTTCCCAAAGTTAATGCAGTTGCAGTCTGGATAAATCCTAAAAGTAAAAAGTGAAGTTTGGAAAGAAATACTCTGTTGTGTGTTTTCCTTTTCTCTACATTCTGCCTAATGGAGCCCAGTAGGACACACACTCACTGGTTTAGGTACTCTGAGAAGATGAGGTTGGGTGAGGTTCCTGGCAGTGTGGTGATCCCACCGATGTTTGAGGCGTAGGCAACGCCGATGAACATGGCTTTGCAAATCATGAGATCCTGTCGACTCCTGCTGGGAGCTGTAGGTAAACTCAGGGCAGCCTGAATATACAACCAGGTAAAATAAATCACCAAAACTATTTTAATGGTTTAGCACCACTCAGTTCAAAGAGATGATACCATTTAGCATCATTTGTGTTTTGCAGCGGTTTTTGTACCTGAGCTTTGGCAGGTCGCTCCAGTGGCTGAATCTGAACACAAGTGCAAGCATTGGCAGGAACATCAGAACCTTTCATGTCACTGAGGAAACAGTGGACTGTATTATTGAAGTATAACAGGTAGACAGAGCAACTACAACAACAACAACAACACAGCAAATGTTTCTCACAAGATTCAAAAACAACAGAAAACTGTTACATACAGTACCTCGGAATTTCTGTTGTTTTTTCACCAGTTGCATGGTCACCAGTTTCTGCAGAAATGAAATAAAATCAGTTCAGAACTCATAGTAAATGTTGATGCTCGTTTTAACTAAGAACTACCTGTTAAAGCATACAGAACAACTGTGAGAAAATACTGACTGTGTTAAAGCATACAGAACAACTGTGAGAGTCGCTCAGAAATACTGACTACACAACAACAAATGACATGAAGTGAAGGCAGATACCATCTAGCTCTAGGTTGGGATTTTCTTCTCCAGTATAGTCCTCCTTTCTGGCCTTCAAAATCTGCTGAATTACAGCCTCCATAATTGGAATCACCATCGTAACTGCGGAGACGTTCTGGACCCACATAGAGATGAAGGCACAGCCCGACATGAAGCCCAGCATCAACCTAGGACCCCCAAAAAATGGCTGTTAAAAGGAGCATTGTCTACTCAGAAGATATTATCTGGCTGCACTGGAGAGAAGAGGATGCCTACCATGCCGGCTTGACTCCCACCATGGATACAAGTTTGAGAGCAATTCTGCGGTGGAGACCCCATTTCTCTATGGAGGTGGCGAGGCACATGACGCCAATGAGCAGGAAGTGAAAATCTTTAAAATACGTTCCCGCCACCTGACAGAGAGAGAGAGCGACAGAGTTGCCAGATCTGAAATTTAGAACCGTTGTACACGGTTGCGGTAAAACTATCGTAGTTGACAAAGAAAAAAACTCGGGGGAAAAAAATCACAAAGAAACTACAAATTGAAAAAGAACGCTTTTTTATGTGCGCGAAACCCTAGAAAACGTAATTAGACAGGAAGAAAAACAAAACGATGCGATAGCACAGTAGTAGCATTAACGGCTACCGCTGGCTACAAACGTGAAGAATAATACATGGGAAAATAAGATTAAAAAACGCAAAACAATATACAAGAAAAAGTTACTTAATAACAACTTAAATTTGAGTTCTACAAAACAACTCAAAAACTAAACACATAATATCCATTAACAATTCCATTACACTCACATACTTTAATTGATGGCAGTTGTGAGTAACATGTCATGGCCGCTGGCTGAGTTAACGATCCTCAGACATAAGTTGCCAACGGCAATCGTGAGCCATTACGTTCTCGTTGGTTGGACAAATGTAGGTGGTTAATGTTTTGTTTTTTGTTTTTTTACTTGACAGTGTTTCTAAAATACTCATACTTTATTATTTCCGAATGAATCAGCCTTCGTTTTATAACTGATGTCCGTGTGACTTCCTTTCTATCATGTCGTTTTTGTTATTATCCTTCTGCCTAAATGGTGCTGGTGACGTTCACAAAACATATTATTAACCATTATAGTCTTGTTCTCCAGAGAAAATATTTAAAAATAGACTTTGTAATTAAAGGACGCCTCACATTTGATCAGTTTAAGAAGTCCTGTGATGAATAAAAGTCTGTGGTCATTTGAGGTTGTACATAACACACCTGTAGGGGGAGCTCACTTTTTTTGTATATTGTATTATATACATACTCTATGTACTTAGTGTAACAGCAAAAAAGACCACCCTGTAAATGTAAAGTGTTACAGACATTGTAAATCATTTTTCCTTACGTGGGAAGATTTCATAATTCCAAACATGGGGAAGAGGACAGCAGGAAGCATGGCCGTCATGGACAAAGGGATGACCTCTGTCACCCAGTATGAGGCCATCCACAGTAACACAAATGCACATTCTGCTTCCTGCAAAAGAAAACACAGAGAATGTGTTTAAATAAAAGGACAAGGTCAAAGGATCAGAAAGAGAGCGATCTTTTCTTTCTTTCTTTCTTTCTTTCTTTTTTCATACTTTTTGTGCTGACTGGGCCCTTCTGTACAGGCTCTTTATTGTGTGATTTTGGCCCCTGAAACATTATTGCAAAGAATAGGAGTTCCCCATTATAACTAATTATTAGATGATGTTTTGTAGATTTTTTTTTTTTCAAATTAGTGGCTGGACTGCTGATTTTATAGATACATTTCTAATTAATTGATTTTTTTTTAATGCAGAAAAATCCAACTGGACTGATGATTTTATAGATACGTTTCTAATTAATTGATTTTTTTTTTTAATGCAGAAAAATCCAGCATCCAAATCTGAGAGTATGCATTAAAAATTGCAAAACCTTTTGATTAGTGTCTCTTGGCTGCTACCTTTTCTGAGGGCACAATAACACACTCAGACTTGACACAGGTTTCATGCCCTTCCTGGCACAAAGACACAGAGTCTCTACAGAACAATTGCAGTTTACCTGCAATTATAAAGTGTTTATCCTCGTGTTGTGAAGCACACTCACCTTTGTACCAACAACAACAGGAAGTGGAAGCAGCAGCAGAGGTGTGAGAACAATAAAGACAAGACCGCGGTACGTCCACAACCCCCTGCTCAGAGACTTCAACATTCTCCGCTCTCTCTCCGTTCTGTCCTCCTCTCCTGTGTTTCTTCTCCTCGTCTCTCCTCTTGGTTTTAGCCTCGGGGCTGTTTGAGCCGAGGGGGAGACTTTTAGAGCAGATGATGATTAACCTGGCAGTGGGATTACTGGAATTCAACATGAGGTTGGTCTCCTCTCCACGAACTCATATCTGCAGATACTTAATGTGTGTTGTCTTCTTATGACTCTTTATCTCTGAACTGATGGAATACGAGATAATTGTGTTTTTTTTTTAATTTATGGCCCTTCTGGGTCTGATGCACTAACGTGTTTCTCTCTGACGGAACATGTGTGTATATTTAAGATAATGACATTTTTACTATTGCTTTTTACATTTGTGTCGATATAAAACACTCTGTTGACCATCCACACGCCTCAGCCTATCTCAGAGCTGGTAGATTACTTTAACAAACAAGGCGTATGTCAAAACAAAATTCAAAGATCTTGGTGACAATGGTGACAATGGAATAAAAAAGAAATATGTTATTCAACATCGCATTCAATTACTTAGCTTTAATTAATGATAATTAGGCTAATAATAGTCAGAAGAAAAAAACATTTGATTGGTTTGATTGTTACAAATTGTATATACAATAAAATGAAATAAAAATAACCTGTTATCAAGTCTGGGCCGGATCATCCTCTGATTTTCAACCATCTGTTTTTGTAAATGACTGATGATGATAGAAAATTGCCGCTGTCATTTATAAAGGAGACTAAAGTAGTTTTTCCAAAACTGTTATTTATTACCACCATAACAAACCAGCCTGTTGCATGTGTATGACACCAAACAAAGGTAAATGATCAAACAATCTCTTCAATAAATTGTCTGAATAAATGTTTACATGAAAGAAAAACTTAGTTATAAATACATTACAATATTTAAAAACTTAATACAAAACCAAAAAACTATCCTGCAAACCTACAGACCTTACAATGTAAGAACTATGGTACGATCAAGTTGGGAACTTGGTCTCTTAACCCCCCCAACCCTCTCTCCCTTTTTGGACACACTGTCTGTTTTGATGCCCTACCGTTAATTCAATATCAGCTCATTTCTGTTAGAATTGAATAAGAATTGAAGTGAAAATTTAAATTCTAAATCCATTTTCGAACCATGTCATTGGTGTTGGAAATCTCAGCTTCTGTCATTTTTAATGATAATAATAATAATTTAATTAATAATTTAATCATCTTTTTAAAGTCTTGTATATAGTACATTCAAACATGGTTGAAAGTTTATAGATTCAAAGGATTTTAAATTTAAGACCACAGAGACAGAGAGACAGAGAGAGACAGAGAGAGAGAGCCTTTTCCTTCTCATTGTAAAGCGTCAGACCTGCCGTCACTGCTGTACTCAGAGGTGGAGGTTATCAGCTTGGACATGAACTGAGTTGCCCTGATGCCTGTGGGCTGATAGTCCAGGTACTCTGCAATGACAGGGTTCTGCCTGAAGTGGCGCCGTGCCAGCATGTGTTTGTACTCGATGCCGTGGATGAACGCTGCAGCGTACGCCTGACCACAGACCAACAGGGAAAACACAGAGGGGTTAATCTGCGGTTTCACCAGTTTCTTTTTAAGAGAATAACAACATCACATGAAAACAGGTGCTTTAAATGTCTATGGACCTTTTAGATCACGTGTCAAACTCAGGCTCGGGGGCCAAATCTGGCCTGCAGTGTAATTATATTTGGCCCACGAGATCATATCAAATGTGTACTACAGTCATAGAATATGAAATATATTTATTCAGTAGTTCAATGTCTTTACCTTGTGGACGTCCTTAATCTCCAGGTGAGCCGTGGACTCCTCTGTTGTCAGGAGAATGCAGTTCCACGGACTCCACTCTCTTTCACGGTTCCAGCGTATGAACCTCAGATCGTAGAGGTCTTTACTGCCGTTGAGTACCGAGCAGGACGCCCAGATCTTCTCCACCAGGTGCTGCACGTCCTCCACCTGTGAAATGACGCAGGTCGTTACTGACGTTTGCTACAAACACACACACAAAGAACAACTGCAGACAGTGGAGACGTGGTTCGGCTGACGACCTGCAGCAGGAAGGGGATCTTGGCGTCTTCGTTAAACTGCAGCTCGTTGGCTCTCAGTTTGCTCAGGATGTTCCTGTAGCAGAATAACTCTATGTGCCATCTCGCCATGTTGTCGAGTCTGTAGCAGTCTTGGCAGCGACCGCTCAGACGGGCGTTGGCGGCCAGGGTCACCTCAGTGGAACTTTTGTAGCAATGGCAGCTGATGCAGCGGAGAATCTGGTTTTTATCATGGGAGGATTTCGCCGGAGCCTACAGACAGATTTAAAGGAAGAGTGTTTTTGACATGAAACAGGAATCTGAAGCCCCAGAGTCTCAGACCGACAGGATCAGCATCTCACCTTGAGCAGCTTGGACACCTCAGGGTTAAACTCTGGTGTTTTGATATACTGAAGGAAAAGAGTGCAGATCCTGGTCCTGAGCCCCTCCAGTTTGGAACCTCTAACCCGTTTACTCATCAGGTCCATTTCTCTGTCTATCAACTGCACGATGTCCCGAGTCAGCCGACACTCGTGCTCCTGCAGGTTAGTCGTGTCAGAGGAAAAAATAGATACATGTATGAACAGTATATCAATATGCACCATGAGAGTTCTCCCAGCAGTCTAGGCCTAAGATGATATGACTGTGGTCGGAACAACAATAATAAAAAAAATGCAATAAAAACGAAACTTTCATGTCTGATTTTGTGGTACCTTGACGGTGCGTTTAAGAGTCATCAGGACGTGGCGCCTCTGCTCCTGGCTGGAAGAAGGCAGGATGACGTCATTGTACAGGTCTCGCAGCTCCCTGGCTCTGATGGTGTTCTGATTGTCCATCTCTATCATGCGGCCGTCAGCACCTCGCCACCGATGAGGAGCGGCGGACTAAAAATACACAAACAAAATAAAAATTTTGAGGTTGGCAAGTGAATGGCAATAATAAACTCCAAAAATATTGTCAATATTTTAAAAGCATAAACTTATAGAATAGAGGCCTTTTTTAAATTAATTTAGGGCGGGGCCAGGGCAACCCATGTTGGGGGGCTATATTCAAATGAGGTGTCCTAAATGTAATTGTTGGGGAGGGAAAAAAGACAGTGGGTGAGTAAGAAATTCCTGTTTGGGTTGGGTGACCTCTGACCTTATCTAGAAAGTTCTTGATGGCTTTTTCGTAGTTGTCTTTCTCCACAGCGATTCCGTGACGCTCTATGGTGGCGATCAACTGCGTCTCCTGCTCGAAAAGCATGCAGAGCGCCGCCTTCCTCTCGGCTCCTTGCAAGGAGGAGTTGATCCGCTGCTCCTCCTCACGCCTCCAGTCTGAAACACACGACTTCATCAGAACGGTCTCTCTCACACACACACACCTCATCTCACACACAGCCCGCTCCACGTACTCTCCAGAGCGTGGTAGAGCAGATTCAGATCTTCTTTTTTCTGCGGTCTTATCCAGTGTTGGTAGCGGTCTCTCAGCTGCTCCTCCTTCTCCTCTATCTTCCTCCGCTCCCGCAGCTCCATCCAGATCAGCCGTCGGTCTCGGGCCCTCCTCATCTCGTCCACCGTCTTCATGGCCATCCAGCGCCGTACGTGGGACTGCAGGCAGATCACCTGAGACAGACACGGGTCATTACAGCAGGAAGGTCTGCATACGTGAATATATCCTTCTGGAACACTCACCGCTTTATTAACAGAAGGTTAGATATAAGATACAATACTTTTCACACACACCAACAAACAAAATGTATTTGTTGTTATGTGTAAATAACATTTGTGCCTAAATCACTTATGACCACTTCATGCTGGAACAAAAATAAATAAAAAAAATTAAAGAATTCCCACTCACAGCCCTCAGCCTCCTGTCATGGTACTGTTCAGCAGTGATGTAGTTGCCGGGGGTGATGAACCTGTCATTCATACAAGAGCCATAGCAGCCAATCCTGGTGGTCTGTGTGGAGACTGTGATCGGCGTCTGCTGTACCTGAAGTTTCCCTGTCTGAGTCTGAGGAACACAGAAAAAAATAAATATATAATTTAACAGGGAAAGTGAAGGTTTCCTGTGGTGTTTTACATTTATTTGTCCACACTGTGGGAGCTCAAAAATACATTTCCTCCACAGGAGGCTTCAACTCCTGGTCAGACACTTCAGACCAGCCTGACTGAGCACAGGGACGGAAACAAGTTTCCAGATAACAAGCATGCCTTCACCATGTGTTGAAGAGACTGGAGAGTCAGCTGCCCTTCTTACCCCTTGGTTGTCTTTAACAAACCCCCTGCCCTTAGGTACGGGGTAGGTCGTCTCTGTCTCCAGCTCCTCTATTGTTTGCTCGGCCCTGAGGATTGTCTCTCTGAACTCCTGGTTCTCCAGGTACTTGTTCCTATGTGGCGTAAATGAAGCGCTTCTCCGTGGAAGCCCCAGCTGTGACAGACTCTTGGGGCTTTGCTGCGCACCAAAAGTGGGAAGACGCATCCTGGAGCCTGATTTCCCTCCAAAGATATCCCACGGGCCGTCTTGATCTGACGGACAGTAGCTGAACTCGCCGGAGTCCCTGAGAGGGGACGTGAAAGCACTCTTCCTGTCCATGGTTTGAGGACTGAGATAGAGAGTTAAAAACTAATAATGCAAGACAGAAAAAAGAAGGGGGGAAAGTTTGACGGTTTTTCTTCACTGGGTGGGAGTGTAGTGAGGAGTCCAAACAGTGGTGTCAGCAGCAGCAGCTCCTGTGTTGTACAGACCCAAACATTCTGCCCATTCAGACATGATGGCCCAGTTAACCTGAATATTGACTCCTAATATTTCAAACAGTTGACCTCCTCGGCAGCGCAGTACTCCACTGCACACAACATGGATTTTTATGTAGCCAAGGTTTTTGGCTTTGATGTTCACTGAGAGCCTTTGAAAATCCTGGTGATGTCATAGCAGTGCAGCTGCATTCACTGCTTAGTGAATTTGGTTAGAAATTCACTGCACAATTGAAAAAAAATATTATTTAATATAATTAATATAATATAAATAAAAATAAATCAATAAATATAATGTAATATAATAAATACAATTGAGAAAAATAATTTAGTTAAGGTTGAAAAGGTCATTCTAATCTATTCTACTCTATCATAGGGGTTAGGGCTAATCAGATAAAGGACAGGGCACAGATGAACGGAGGTGTAAAAGGTCTTCAGGTGTGAAATCTTCTGCCTGTGTCTGAGAAAAGGTGAACTTTCCTCCTTGCAGACGAGCTTTGACGTGAGCGTCTGTGCTGATGTGGATGAGTTTTTTAACTCAGAGAAGCAGGAAGACCGTGAACATCCGGAGACTGAATCGCAGAGGTTACAGACAGCTGGTCTCTAATTGAGAGTCACCAAAGAAGAAATGGCTGCTGAGTAACATTTTACATTTCCTGAGGATGTGACTGAGTGGTGATAATGGAGTAACCTTAAAAAAAAAGTCAAACATTTAATTATCGGTGACCTTTCAAAGACATCTTGTAACTAAGAGGATAGCGCTACTATTTTGTGGCTGTGGAGGAAACGGCACTTATTTTTATTCAATTATAATTTGTCCTTATCCACAGAGCACATTAATTACCCTGCATGCCTTAATTAAACGCTCACTGAATTTCTGAGTCTTAATCAAAACAGAGTCAACTTTTTTTTTCTCCCCCCGTTTGAGTTCTAAAGACATGCTGCTACAGATGGTCCGAGGATGTGGGCGGGACACTTTATGATTTTTAATGAAGCGACAGATGCAACATGTAAAACAGTCAACATTTTGACTTTTGACAGCAGCCAAGTGGAAACGCAGACAGGAAGCACTCAAACTCAGACTGCAGGATTGACCCTTCTGACCTGCCTGGAAGACGTTTAATTAGGAGACTACGAATCACAACGAAGTTCCACCAACCACTAGAAAAAAACCCTAAAACTTATGCTTAAATAAACAGAATACTGTGGTGTAATTGGTGCAACCTGTTTTTGTGACGCTCTCGTTTCAAACCAGTATCTAATGACTGAATTTCACACTTAGAAATAAACAGGAAACACATTCTGGAGCTTCTGCTGTGCATAAATCAATTAATCATGATTAATTATGATCAACCAACAGATCTAAGTACGTATGACAAAAATAGAGTTGTATATTGATTGAGCACAAAGACAGGATCCAGTAGGTTAGAAAATAGGAAACACTCTGACCAAGAGGAAACTCTGAATGGTAGTGTGTTTCAATATAGGGTTCCCTAAAGGAGGGGTGTACCCCAGCCTTGACCAATGACCACTGGGATTGGCAGATGGGCGCATAGATGAATGGATGCATGAATGAATGGATGAATGGATGGTTGGGCCGAATAATGTACAAAATTATTTTTTTTTAAAAATGTAATTCAAATTTTCTTTCTGAATTTTCTTTCTAAAAATACAAACATCTGTGTTTATTTATGCTTAGCAGAGATCACAGATCACTAAAATACTGTTATATATATTAAAAATTGTCAATATATACCACAAAAACATATATATATATAGTATATATATACATATACAAATATGTATATATATACTATATATTTGTGTAAAATCCCTGTCCATAGCAGAGCAGTCATCTGTGTGATTATTTATCATAATGTCCAGTTTAAGAACCCCATCTCTTCCCTACATCCCTTTTTCCACCTCTCTAATTAGACTGCTTCATTTGCTGGAGTGTCATGTTCTGCCTCATGCCTGTGTGTGATGTCCCTTTGCGATAATGAGTGACCTTTAAATCCACCTCACCCACCACAGCTCATCTCCCCTGCTTGTTCTACTCAGTTTTTTTTTTAATCTTTTCTTTTCACCGGATTCAGTCGTCACTTTTTTCTGCCTGACGTCTCTTTTTCTTCTGTGCTTTTCTGGACACCCTGTCACCTTCACCTGAGTTTCACGGCTGAAGCGGTCGACACCTCTGTCTGGTCTCTTCTTAGGCAGTGTCTGGACGGCAGCGTGGTGGAACTCCCTCCCTGTCAGTCGGTGTCTGAAGCCTCCCATGAAGGCCTTCCGCTGGGCACGACACTGGATCTCTACCACCACCTCCCGGAAACCTCCGTCATCTGAGAAATAGGTTGACCTCGGAGTTAGCGATGGTTAAGCTAGTTGGCTGATTTGACATGTTTTATGATGATGTCTTTGTCAAGCGTTGACTTGTGTGTTGCTTTAATAGACCAAGACCATCTCCGCACTCCGCGGTTCTCACAGTGTCTGCTAAGTGTCTGCCAATGTTGTGTTTGTCTCCACCTGTTGGTACTCTGACGGTGATGAAGTCCGGCATGTTGTCCTGCTCTGGGGGGTGGAGGGGTCGGAGCGGGTGGCTGGTGGGGTCGGTGGAACTCATCTCGAGTCTTGTAGAACTGTGAGGACGGACGCCGAGCTCCATCAGGCTCCACTGGTCCTGCAGAACTTTCCCTGGAAAAAAAAACAACAGAATGACAGTTTTTTTCAACAACTTCCCCAGTATAGGATCAATGAAGTACAAATTATAATAATAATAATAATTATTATTATTGTTGTTGTTATAATTATTATTCTTTAATGGAAGTTTGAATAATAAATTTTACCACAGACTGTGTACATGTCACAGACTGGTACTTTCAGTACTTTCTCAGTATTTTCAAAGTACATCTATTCTTTAATGGAAGTTTGAATAATAACTTTTACCACAGACTGTGTACATTAGAGTACACTTGTGTTAATGGAACACATTACAAAAACACCAGCTTAAATAAAAACACCCTTTTCTTGAAAAGCTGGGCTACTCAGTTCCTAATGTTCAACTGTTAAATTCCTACCTGGAAACCTGCAAACAATTCTATTCCAACCCTGTGAGTTCATGAGAAATCGCATCCGTTCCTCAGAATGCAGTCATGAATTCATGAATCTTATAATCATTAAACCTTCTGTAAGTGTTGCTCAGACAGACTCACCATCCAGAGAGATCTGCAGAACCTCCACAGGAACCCTGAGCTCCGAGGACAGGTGACACTTGAGCTCCTGAATGCTCAGACCGATGACAAAGGCCACCGTCATCACATGACCCTCGGGCACCAGCACCACTTTTACTGCAGTTGCATTACACACAACACAAAAGAGCAGAATTATTCTTATAGTCACAGCGAAACACATACAGATGTAATGGAAACATATATATATATATATATATAATTATTTTCTTTTTTTCTATAGAGCTCAGTGAGTCACACAATGATTGACTTTTTTCTCTTCAGAGTTATTGGTGGCCACTTTGTGTAAGTTCTGTGTCAGCTTACCTGTCAAACCAGTCAATGTGGGTTGATTATAACAGGCTATGTTTTTTTTCTATATTGTTTTTATTTATATGTAGAACTTTAATGCAGATATTGTACTGAAGGTTCTTCTGTAAAATTATTATAATATTTTTTTTTAAAAAATCGGTTCACACAAAGTTTAATGCAGATATTGTACTGAAGGTTCTGTAAAATTATTATAATTTTTTTTTAAATCTGTTCACACAAAGTAAAAAAATATGACTTGAAACTGTACTTTATTTGGTAGAAGATATGTTGGGGTTTTTTTTCTCACCTGTCGCTGTGGAGTTTCCAACATTTTCTTCAGTGGTCTGAACGGTGTCTGCAATCTGCTTGTCATCATCAGGCAGAACGGTCTGACTCTCAGCTCCATCATCATCATCATCATCATCATCATCATCTACCTCCTCCTGTTCACCTGTACAGTCCACACAGTCTCAGTAGATGCTCTGATTGGTCAAAAAGACCCAGGAAATGGGTCGTTCAACACTAACAGGTCACATTATCACAAAAACCAAATCTGAACGAGGCTAAAGAAGTACCTCTGTTAAATAAACCACTCGGATGAGTTGGTTTTTTTCCCCCTCCTTAAGTCATTATTTATATTTGAAGCTTTGGATTTTATTTTACTGTGCATTAATACTGAAAAGTTTAAAATAATCTCACCACATTCTTCTGCGTCTTTGTCTTCAGTTTGTGTCTCTCCCTCTGGCTTGTCATCATCAGTCTGAGTTTCAGCCTCTTCCACCTTATTTATCACATCTGTATAATTTAAAAAGACATTTTAAAAAAGATTTAAAATCGCTCTCATCTTTTACTCGCTCAACAAAGTCATATATACGAGAATTAATATTTTTTTTGTCTGTTATTGTTTCCTCCGAACGGAAAAAACAACAGCCCCGTTCGTTCAGTAAAGAAAACAGAAGAAGTGGGGTTTTTATATATATATTAAATAATATTTCCTTATCAGTTCGCCCTAATCCTGCTCTTCGTTATTTTAATGGACACTTTCGACATATTTTTTTGTCCCACAAACCTGAGTTGTGTACATCCAGGCCTTCAGTCGACTCACCTGTGGTGGTGGTGGTGATAATGGCTGCGTCATGTTTTTCTTCCCTGTCGTCTTCCGGTTCTTGTTCTCTCTCTGGCTGCTCCTCCGCACCTCCTCCACCTGGACGTGGACTTCTGCTCTTCATTTCCTCCCCGTTTTCCCCCTCTCTCTGTCTCATCATTGGGCCTTCACTTACCGGCACAATGTCTCGCTGTTAGCCGGTGTTCTTTAGCCTCCACGCTGGGGCTAAACGGGTTCCTTCAATCCGCTAAAAACACCGTGAATTCAAATCAACAGCATCAACATTTAACCTTTAGTTTTTCATTTTTCACTTTACTTTTATTCAGCCTTTCAGAGTTCACGCAGCTACGACTCTCAGCTTCAAGTTTACAACCGTTGCCCTGGAAACGCATCCAGGGTCGATTTAATCAGGGGCGTAGCGAAAAAAATCGGGGACAAGGACATAGCGACCCCCCCCCAATCCTCTTGTCACAATGTACACAGCTAAGTCAGCTAATGCAGAAGTTTTTTCAAACTTACAACCGAAAAGTAAATATGTGTTCAAGTGAAAGTGATTTCCACTCATTTTTGGGGGTTTAAATCAACCGTGGCTGATGTTGGGCAAAAAGTTTGATAAATTTAAACTTTAAAAATGAAAAAGGCTCCATGTGGTACACACTGGATTCGACCGATCACCTCACAGACTGACAGGAACACAGTTAATAAAACCCATTTCAAGCCAAATTACAAATTATTCCTGTGTCCAAAATATAAAATATTGAATATTGAAAACAAACTGCACCGTTATGTTGACTTTAAATAAATAAAAGCACTTGCAAAATTGTTATAAGGAACATTCACCTTTAATAAAAATGAAAATTTACAGAAAACAGCCTTTAGACCTGATGTAGTGGGAACAGTCCTGCTACAGCGTGTCCTATTTGTCCATAATCTAACATCTTTAAACAATGACAGTCAAACAATGAGTCCTATTTTAGTCACGTTACGGCCTCACTGTAGACAAGGACAATATGGGAGCTTTAGATTGAGCTGTTTCAGTCTGGGAAACAGAGGAGGCGACTCGGTGGCCGTACGTAAAGCTCTAGTAATCTGTCGTTGGACATCTGCTGGATTCCCAGAGATCACACAGCCAGCAGTTTAAACCTGTCACACACGGCTCCACGTTTACAGATGGTCCCAGTTTGGTCTTCTTCACAGTGGTGGTCTGATGGTCCAGTTACAGCAGCAGGGCTGTTTACATGTTGCTATGACAACAGTGTTCCATGTTAGCTCCTGCAGCATTTAGTTACAATAGCCTTATAGGTTAGCAACATTTTGTACGAGTTAGTAGCCGGTTATCTTTGGCAGATCTGAATAGCGAATATGTACATTTTCAGTGGTACAGAAATAGCAGATACTGGTACACTAGAGGAGTGCCCTCTAGTGGCTGTTAGTGGGAAGATAAGTCCCACCTGACTATAAGTGGCAAACCCAACCAAAAGATGGGGAAAAAAGTTCCATTTATAGTCTGGAAAATACGGTTTATATACAGAACTGGAGTGTGAAAATAATGGTTGCCTTTAGTAAAAAAAAAATCTTTTTGTATTATTTTACTAGTTCACTCAAAGTGGACAACAGTGTCGACACTGGCACCCAGGTACTTATGCAGCCTGACAACTAAAAAACTCTGTGTTAATCAGTAAATCTGAATCAACCAGACAAACAACTAAAGCCACAGCAATTACAAAAAGTTCTCAGGCAACACTACACACCGACAGCCTCACAAAGAGCGACCGAGAGCCTGGATTAGAGAGAGGACACAGACCTCCGCTGCTGCCCTCGGTCAACCGTCCACACAGAGCAGAGCGGGAGATGAATAGAGATGATTGAATTCTCTTCTTTTCCACAAAGCCGTTCATATTGAACTGGTCGGCTGCATGAGTCCTTGTCATAAGCCCCCCCACTTATTCTCACCAAACAGGCCAAAGACCTGGCTTAGTTCATACAATAGTCCATGTAACCAGGCTATATTTATGACCATCAGGCCAGGTGCTGGCACACACACACACACGGACACACAGTTCTTCCTCGCTGTTAGTGTCTGTGGGTGGAGCTAACTGACATCGTAGTGTAGGACGTACCTCCATATAAAACCACGAGAAGATGCTGAGGGCAGACTGACCGCACGGGCGTGACATTTTTACGTTTCAGGTATTTCACATGAAGGAACACATTCAAGGCTGGGACGGTTGGGTCGGAAATGGGATTTCTGTGGCTGATGGATATTTAGTTCATCTGTGATCAAGGAATTTTTCTTCATCCTGCAAAGCAGCTGGACAGAAACGTAAACATCTGTAGGTCTGCAGCCTCCCACTGATCATTTCTAATTCATTAATCTTTATACAGACTTTCAACTTATGGATTTATTTTGTAAATTAAAAAATGATCGAGTTGAACCTGCTTTTTTTGCAGCACGATGAACACCTACGATGAGTACGGGGAGGAGGAGCTCAATGACTACAACATCCAGCTGACCATTCAGGAATCCAGCCAGGAGGCTTTTCTCAAATCTGCCGACAGGCATGTATTAAAAAGACTAAACCCGGCCCAAACCAATTACCATGAAACCCGGCTCACCCTCCTGTGTTTCCTCAGTTTAGACGCAGTGACGGATGAAAATCTGAGAGTCCTGGCTGCCATCGAGCAAGGTGGGTGTCACATCACACCTGACAACCTGTAACACGTCCACAGGGATTTGTCTTTGGAGTCTGGCAGCCACAGTGTCAGGGTCAGCAGCTGTAGGTGACAGTAGCCGAGCCGAGTTGAGTGGTTGGCATTCAGACAGACAGATGATAAACAGAGATAATGACATAAAAACCAGCAGGTGATGGATGTTGTTTCTTGTTTTTGTGTAAAACACATCTGCTGCCGTGTCATTCCTGTAATGACCAGGTGAGGCATCAGTGCTCAGGGAGATGCTGAGACATACCTTCGCCTTCAGGGAGTTGGACGGTCATGGTTGGCTTCCACTCCACCGAGCTGCAGCTCAGCCAGTACTGGAGGTTCTGGAGACTGTTCTGAGATGTAAGTACATCGGATTTGAGGTCATTTTTATTAATAATAAAGCTGCCACATGGGGGAGCTATTGATATATTGAGCATATACAAGTTTAATAAATGATGATAGTAATGATAGCGATAAAAAAGTTATCGCAGTGAACAATGAATATTAATTCAAATTAAAGAGTTGCTTTTTGATCTACAACAAATATTTCACAACAAGCAAATTAGTGACAAGAATACATTCGAGTATAATAATTAGAGTAAAAAGAGTTTAATACGGCTGTAACACAAGTTATATTTTTTTTATTTCTTTCTCATTTTAATGAGTTAAATGCACTTCAACCCAGAATAATAAAATTAAATGTTACCCTAACAAGCAGGATTTTTATTTTTAATCGCAGATGATTTGTGTCTATGCAAACAACTGATCCAGAAATACTTCTTTGCAGATTTTAATTAGCGTCGTACCGCCTCACAGGAAGTGGTCTGAATTCCACAGCTCTCACATACCCACCGTCTCCAGTCCCGTCTTGGCGTAGTATGGCCAATTTATTCTCCTTACACAAACAGTTATTGTGGGTGGAACACTGTAAATAACATGGCACAGGAAGTAACAACCTGAGTGTGTAAACACTGGAACTATGAAGACGTTTTATTGTAAAAAAAAAAAAAAAAACTTAACCATAACTGCAACCTCCCCCAATAAAAGCCTGTACTGGTTACTATTAATGAACTTAAACTGAATCAGAGAGGCTCGACTTTAAATAAGGTTTGAATGATTTCGAACCCAAAATTAGTTAAAAAGATAGCACAAACCATTGTTTTTCCATCTTCAAATGACCAATTATATTATTTTTTATTTTGAAGAAAGCAAATGAAAATTTAAAAAAAGTCTTCCATCGTGTATCATTTAGCATGCCTGCCTTGCCTTGAGCAAAGGGTCCTGGGTGCAATTCCCAGTTGAAACCAAATACTTAGTTCAAATTATTAATATTATTATTAGTAGTAGTCATGGACCAGACATAAGGGACTCAAACCGCCTTCTCTGCCTGAGAAAAAACCCAGTGACCTCCGTCTCTGGTCATCCCACACACCGGTCAGGAATGATGGGTGGTCTATACACAAAGGTTAGCACGGCCGTCAGGCTGCTCTGCGCTCCCAGAACGCACAGGGCCACCTCCTCCCCGTGTGCTGTTTGTTTCGTGTTTGTCCGTGGCAGGTCAGGGAGTGAGTGTGGAGGAGAGAACAGCGGTGGGTGGAGAGACAGCGCTGACGCTGGCAGTCAAAGCCGGACTGACACAGAATGTGAAGAGCCTGCTGGAACACGGAGCCTCTCCTCACAACACCAACAACAAGAATGAGTCACCGCTGCTGCTGGGTAAATCACTGACGTTGGCACCGTAGGAGTCAAAAAAAAAGTGATTGTGGCTGAGTCAGTGGGAAGTGAATAGCAGTAAGTTCAAGGTTCAAGTCAACCTGGATACCAGTGATTCCCAGAACACAAGAAGCCATAAATGTCCACCCATAGATGACATGGTCTGCAGTTACACTGGAAATTCTAGTCTTGACGACTGATGCAACACTGGAGTTCTGTTTCTCTCCTTCAATCATAGCATAGCAGCTGTTTTCAGTCTCATTTTTTAGTTTACATCTTATGGGCATGGCTTTTCAAGGCATTTCAGTTGAAAAACAACCCCATAATCTGCCTTTTGGGTGATGAATTAATCTAACACTCATGGAGTCACAAGAGTCACAAGAAATGTTGGAATTTTTTTAATTAATTCATTTGTGTTTTAAATCCTTTTTTGAAGCTGCTGGTTTTAAGCACTTGTGTTAATGACACACAAGTTAAGTTTTGTCAAAACCTTCTGCGATGTTTGTCTTCACTGGCAATAATAATAATTAAGATCCCATTTAGAGGAAAACCAATAATAAAGAAGAGCAAGTAACAGATCTTTGATCACATACTATGGTATACTATGGTATGCGTATCAAAATCTTTAACCTTAACCTAGTTTTCTCCTCACCCTGCAGCAGTGAAGGTTGGCTCTGTTCAAATCACACACGCTCTGGTGGCCCATGGTACATGGGTGGAGCAGGTCTGCCAGAAGAGGTGGACGGCGATGCACGAGGCGGCCAAAGTCGGCAACGCTGACATCCTGATGCTGCTGCTGAGGAACGGTGGGCGGGTCAACCAGAAGGACGTGGCAGGAGTGACGCCGCTGGCCGTGGCCGCGGAGCGCGGACATTTCCACATCATGGAGATTCTGCTGAGCTGTGGTGAGTCTGAGAAGAGGAGGGACAAACCTGTTGTTTGTTATGCATGGATCGGTGGTAGGCAATGATGACCCACGCACAAAGGTCAAAGGTCAAGTTGACATCTGTATCTAACTTATAACTAATACATTTTTTAAATCCATTCTTTCCATGTGTGCATTTTTTAATGGTCTGTTTCTGATTCTTCTCCTCATCTAAACACCTCTAAATGGTTTATTCATCCTCCGAGCTCAGGAAGCAGAGTGAACTCTCAGGCCTGTAATGGTGAAAGTGTGCTTCTGGACGCAGCTGGATCAGGAAACACCGCCTGTGTCAAACTGCTGCTGGACAATGGAGCCAACGCCAACCTCCCCAGCATCACTGGTCTCCTGCCAATACACAAGGCAGCTTACGCTGGACACTCTGAGTGAGCTCTTTGAATGAATCGTTATCCTCCGATAATGAAAACCTGAAAACACAATGCCTGTTTCGCAAAATGATGTGTGCTCTAAAATTACCAGGCCTATATCAGTATCGATTGATTCCAAATACTTGTATTAGTTAAAATTGTGATTACTTACATTATCAGATGAATAAAGATGATATAATCTGTGTTCTTTTTTCTCATAAAGTGCTGTAAAGATGCTGATACCTGTGACTACAAAGAAAGCCATTAAAGAAGCAGGACAGAGCCCCGTCCACTCTGCGGCAGAGGGTGGACAGACACGCTGCTTGCAGCTGCTGCTGGCTCACGGCTATGATGTCAATTATCGCATGTCCACCAGGAACTCTGAGAATTACTGTGACATGAGAAAGAGTGCTTTGTACTTCACTGTCTCCAATGGAAACGTGGACTGCACCAAAATACTACTGGCAGCTGGAGCAAAAACTGACCTGGACCCGCTCTGCTGCCTCCTGGTGGCGGTCAGGTCCGGACGCTATGATTTAGTGAAACTGCTTCTGGCTGCCAAAGCAGATGTGAACTGTTACTTTACAGTAGTGAGCGACACAGTGTTTCCTACAGCTCTGCAGTACTGCCTGAAGGACGAGGTGATGATGAGGCTGCTGCTGAACAGCGGCTACAGGGCGGAGAGCTGCTTCTGCTGTCACCACGACAAGGGCTTTGATGCTGTTGATGGTGCACTGGGGAAAATCCCTGTGAGTGGCATGTTAATCATTTTTTCATTATTTTTGTGATAGATTTTGTAACACATATTATACATTCAAATTATTCAGTGACGACCCCATCACCCAAACTGCATTTAAAAAATCAACCCTATCACCAAAGACACAAATGACCTTGTGAATGTCCGTCTCCTTCACAGTTCTGTGAGATCATGTGTCTGTCGTGTCTCCTTCATCTGTCGGGGAACGTGGTCCGGATCCTGTTGGACTACGTCGGCCTTGTCCACGTCTGCTCCAAACTTAGGCTCATTCTGGAGCGACAGAGAGAGTGGCCTGAAATATATGAAATCCTCGGTGAGTAATCACGTGATCACACAAACATACAGTCAGGTGTTTAAGGTACCATTCAATTTACATTTTTCTGTTTAAAAATGATCGGCTCTGCAGACAGTCCTCGCTCGCTCAGGCACCTCTGTCGACTGGAGATCAGAAGACGTTTGACCCTGAAGAAGCTCAATAATCCTGAAATCCTGAACTCTCTCAATTTTCCTCCAAGACTGAAGAGCTTCATACTGTACAAGGAGCTTGACCTTTACGGCCAGGGTTGTGAATGCGATGCGTAAAGATCAGAAAATCCTTGCTCTGGATTTAACATCTTTGAGAGTTTTGGAATATATATCTTTTATTTTCTTAATGATTTATCTTATTTTTTATAACAGGTTTTATATAATTTTTGTTTTTTTTTTT